AGCAGAGAGTGAATGCCCTGAAGTTCAGGAAGCTCTGCCCCAGGGGTGGCCTCCTTTCCTGTTCTTCCTCAGCACACTTCCCCACTGCCCAGGGGCCGTGGAGCTAATAAATCCAGGGACATGAGCCCTGTGCTGCAGGGGGCCAAGCTGGCTCAGTGCACGTCCCAGGTGCACCCTCTGCCAGCTGTCCAAATGCCCACCCCTGCTGCAAGGATGGAATAGGCAAAGGCATGTGCATGGTTTGATATGGGCCTTTCCCACTGTCAGAACCGTGTCCCAACAGGCATATTTGGGGTGGGTATCAATGTGAAAAGAAGAGAGGCAGCCAAGCCCCATATATTTCTAAAGAGTAGGACCACACCTCCCTGCACATCACACCCCCCTCGCTGCACTCCAGCCACAGGGCCTTTGCACATGCTGCTCTCTCTTTCTCCACTGTTCTTCCTTCTCCTCATTCATCTGTTAATGATTACCAAATGCCACTTCCTCAGGGAAGCCTTCTTGGACCCCAAAGTCAGGCCTGATATAGGTTCTCATAGCTCCCTGATATCTCCATCATAGCAAGTAATATTTAATATAAAGTTAATACTTAGTGTAAAGATTCATTTCTTAGGCTAGGTAGGTATTCAACAAACATTTGTTGAATGAATGAATGAATGGTTGGATTACTCTTGTAGCTCTCATACTGCCCAGTGGCACCCACAAACCCTGCCAGGTCCCAGACACTGGCTGGCCAGGCCGCAGGGCTGCCCCATGCCTAGCAGGCTCCCAGGACAAGACACTCCTTGGCCTTCCCACCTGACTTCTGTTGCCAGGTCAGGAGTCGGGGTTGGGAGGCCAGAGTCACAGAGTAGCCCAGGAAGTGAGACGGAAACAAACCATACAACCTAGATGATAGGGAGCTACCAGCATCATCCACAAACTTCTCCATGCACATACATGTACACACATGTATACACGTGCATATGCACATGTGTGTATATTGTGTGCACACATACCTGAATGCATATAGTTGCAACATGTGTATGTACTGGCACACACACATGCATACACACATGTGTATATGGTATACACATACCCCTGAGTGTACATGGTTGTAAACCATATACATGCACAGGCACACAAAAGCATGCCATGTCCACATATACCCCACAGGCATACCCACATGTGTGTGGGTACATGTACCCCTGCATACCCACCCCTGTGTGATCACCCTTCAGAGGCCCAGCTCCTGCTGACACTCATCCTAAGTCCTTCCTCCTCCCAGGAAGCCTTTCCTAAAGAAGACAGCTCTGCTGCCCTGGGATTCCTGCTTCCCAGAGCCAAGAGCTCAAGTCTCCCTGATCTCAGTGAAAAAGCTCACACGGCTCTGATTTCTGAGCAGCTTGGGGCCCAAGAGGTGAAAACTTACCCAATGGTACCACCGGTTCTAAGGGTCAAGAGTGTCACTCACGAACACAATGCTTAGAGTGACCCTGTGGCCTGTCCCCTTGGGTGCTGCAGGGAATATTAATACTCTCCAGCCTTCTTTACCCTCAGCTCTGAATGTTGCTACAGGCCAAGGCTCTGTGGTCCAGCACAGAACCTTCTGGACGGGCAGCCGACTGGTTAAGAACCTGTGGCTCGGGGTCAGGAGTCTCTGTGTGAATTCCAGTTCAGTCACTTATTGGCCCTGGGACCCCGAGCAAATTACTAAGTTCCCTGACTCTCAGTTTCCTCATCTGCAAGGTGAGAATAATGGCATCTACTTACTGGGTTAGAAATATAGTTGACCCTTGAACAGCACAGTTTGAACTGCACGGGTTCATTTATATGTGAATTTTTTCAACCAAATACGTGGATCGAAAATGCAGTGTCCAGGAACGAGAAGCCCACACATACTGAGTTTTTGTATGTGTGAGTTCTGTAGGACCAATGGCGGGACGTGAGTATACTGGGATTTTGGGGGGAGGGGGGGATGCTGGAACCATCCCCCGCCAATACTGAGAGATGACTGTAAGGTGTATAAAGTGCATGGTTTAGTTAGTATTCAACGACAGCTGTTGAAATGGCTGTAGCAGCAGTAGCAGCAGTAGTAATAGTGTCAGTCCTAGAGGTCATCTCAGCCATCCCCTGCCTCTGGCATGAGTGCCCCAGGCACTAAGTCTAGAAGGTACCACGGGACACATTTCAATCTATCATCTTTGTTTTGCAGATGGATGACGCTAAGAGGGAAAGCAGCTTTTGCCCGAGTCACCCCAGCAGGAGCAGAGTTAGGGCAAAAGGTCAGCCTCTGAACTCCAGGTCCTCACTCTGTCCTGACCACCAGTGGGAGCTCATTCTGCTGTCCCTGGAGGCTGTCAGGGCCTCAAAACCTGGGCTGAGGGCAGCCGAGGAGCAGGGAGGTGAGGCCTGGCCCCTCTACTCCCGCCAAACACCCAGGCTGGCAGGGACAGCCCTTCCTACGCCAGCTTCCCCAAACCACTGTTAAACCACCACCTTCCCCCAGGACAGGTGACCGGCCACTGAAGCAGCGCCATGCCAGGTTGGGGGGCGGGGAGGCCCCTGGCAGCAGGCTCTGCTCCTGCCTTCGGTGCAAATTAAAACATTTTCCTTTTCTTCATAATTCTTTTTCTGACACAACTGCCCATGAAACATTTTAATAACATCCCAGAAAAGGTCAGGGAGAAGGAATTTCACAGTCCCTGAGCAGGCGGCTATAACTTCAGCCCCTCCTGAGGCAAAGGAGGTGGAGGGATCAGGCTGACCCCAGGTGAGAGAGGAGGGCGTCAGGGTGGGGAGCCCGGGGCAGGGCGGGGCGGTGTGGGTGGCGTGGCCGGGAAACTCGCTGCGGGCTGGGCGCTCTGGAAGCACCTTGGGGAGACCAGGAGAGGCTGGTGGGTGGGTGGGTGATCCAGATGCTTTTACAGCCTCTTTACAACAGGTAAACTGGGAGGTGTCGTGCCCCCTTTGTGGATGAGGAAATGAAGGCTCTCAGGTGACACGGACAGGCCAGCACACAGGTCCTAAGCTCCTTTAGGCACGCAGCCCTGCTGTGGGAGCCATGGCCTGGTGCGACAGCCCCCACACCTCACCATGCCACGAACCCTGGGGCTGGGGCTGGAGGAGGAGGTGGGTGAGGCTTGGATGAAGGAATCGGGGAACCACAGGCTGGCTGGATTGGTCAGCCCTGGGCAGAGGCCCTTGGTGGCCACAGAGGAGGCTGAGCTCATCTGTGAACCACCCGAGGGGGCCTGGGCGAGGGACTAGAGGAGGGTCAGGTGGGTCCACTGCAGGGCCTGGAGCTGCTCCAGCTCTGCATAAAACCCGGTCTGAGGGGTGCGGCGCACATGCAGCAGAGTGCACTCCCCAGTGCCAGCCCAGACTGCACTGGGCCTGACACACCTGTCCTTGGCGCCACCAGCCAGGGGTGTCTCTTCTCTAACCCTTGTTCCATAGGAAAGTTTTCCCCAACCCTTCCCCAGAGCCGCAGAAACTTGGAACTGCAATGTGAGAGCCCCTGTCCCCAGGAAGAATGCCAGGAAGAAATCCTCTGACACCCACCAAGCCCACATCTGACACTAGAATTCTTTGCCACATGGTCCCAGACCTGTGGGAGACAGGCCCTCCACCCCCGGTGAGGCCCCTGAAGCCCAGGCTGCGTGGGTGCCCTACGCCCTGACATTCAAGGAGGGATGGGGGGCTGAAGACACTCCCTTTGGGTCTCTGAGAGGCTGGAGGAGGGTCCCGGGGCCTCAAGCACCAGGAGATTTATTACAGGGAGTGTCCTGGTGAAAGCCGGAGAGCCAGGAGCTGGAGGAAACAGCTGTAGCAGACTTACTGTTTACGTCTGACGGCCTGACTAGCTAAACATCTGTTTGAAATATTAATAACTGTCAGATGGGAAGGCCTGGGGGCTCAGTGCAGTTTCGTACCATCTGTCTGTAGAGTAAACACACTTTGGATTGGGGTCCTGGTTTCATAGGCAATGTCTCGGCTTGGGGTGGGGATGAAGCAAGAATGGATGCAAGGACTCCAGGGCCACAGGTGGGCAGGGCGGGGCCGGCAGTGAGTTTAACCCTGTAACATTTATTGAGCACCTACTATGGGTAATGCCACACATCTACCACTTTGATCTGCTCAGCATCCAACCCCTTGTCTTCTTACAATAGAAGCCCCCTCCCCATTTTCAGCCAGTGTAATATAGACAGGGCTGCCTCTATTCCTGGCTCCATGAGAGGGAGTGTGACCCATCCGTGGCACACCAAAATCACAAGTGGTTCCAGGATGGCTGAAGAGCTGGGTCAATAAGAATCAGCTGGAGCTATTGAAAAAGATTTTTTCCCACTAGTGTTGATAAATTGGTAGAAATTCAGCCTAGAGGTGCTGGTGCCCATCTCCGCCAATACAAAAAAGCAGAGCCTGGTGCTGGAGACAGGACTCCTGCATGATCGAGTGCCTGGGTGCAGCCATGCCCGAAACCATGTAAACTTTTGAGTTGCATGAGCCAACCCTTTTTTGCTTGAACCACTTCAGGGTTTTTGTCCGTTGCAACCAACAGTACTGACTGATGCAAATGGACACTGAGAGGGCCCCTTGTCAAAGGGCAGGTCCCAGCCATGGGCATCCAGCACCTCAAGGAGCAAGTTCTTCTCTGGGGCCTGTGCCCAGATAGGGAAGGGTTGCCCTCCCCAGAGATGGATGGCACCTTCCCACCCACCCAGGGCTTCCAAGGTTCCTGGCACACCCACACGCAGTCCCTCTCAGGGAAAAGGCAGGAAACCAGTGTCCTCAGCCTAGTTTGTCACCCCCCAGGTTGGCTCCCTTCCCATGCTGCAGCCTAAGCCAAGAGAGCCCATTACGGAGCCCAGAAGCCTTCATACATCAACAGACACAGCCTCTGGGGACTTGGGGGCGCCCCTTCCCTGACTGCCCAGACTCCACCGACAAAATCCCTCTGGCTGCCTCACTGTGGTCTGCCCCAGAGAGCTCAGCGGCCTTGCAGGACAGCGGGGACTCACCAGGACCGTCAGCACGGAAGTCCCCACGGTGACGTTCTCGTACAGGCTGACGTTGTACAGGGGCTGGCTGAAGATGGGCCGGTTGTCATTCTCGTTGATGAGGGTGATCTTCACCTTGGCATAGCCCACGTGGTCGGGTACACTCTCATTGGCAAAGAGCTGGGTGTGCAGAGGAGGGGCCCAGGTAACCCCCACATGCTCCCAGAGCCCTCGTCCCCATAAGTCCTCCTTGGGCTGGTCCCAGCCTAGAGCACCCATGAGGGCCACTGCCCATCCCAGCTGTGTCCTGCTGTGAGCCCCTCCTTCACTGCTATACAGGGCTAGGGATGGCCACTCATTCTGCCAGGGAGGGGGCTGACGGGGGTGGGCTGGCAGCCGGGCAGCAGAGCCTCCTGATGCGGCTGGAGCTGTGGCATGCCTTGTAAGACTCCACTCAGTTCCTGGACATTTCCTGTCCTCCTTGAAAAGGGGAGGCTCTGCCCGGCCCCTGCCACCTGGCAGTGGGCTTCTCTGGTCACATCCGCAAGGGAAGGTGGGGAACAGTGAAGGCGGGATTTAAGGCAATGGTGTTACCCACCCCCTATCACCCAGACTCCCCTGAAATCACCCCACCCGGCCCGAGGAGTCGGTGAGTGGGGGCGGGGCTTACGTCAAAGTCATAGCGGTCCACGGTCTCATAGTCCAGTGGGATGGCCACCCGGATGCGAATGTCCGCCTTCCCCTGGACGGAGGTGGGGGAGATGATGAAGTGGTGGGAGTTGTTCCCCACCAGGTACACCTCGAACATGCTGTTCAGGCCCTGGGTCGAGAATGGAGGAGAAGCCAGTCAGAAGGGGCACAGGTGGCCAGGGCCCCCCGAGGGTGAGGGGGAGCTGCTCGTGGGGGCAGTGGATGAGGTGGGGGCAGAGCAGGGCTTTCCTGGCCCTGCACCCAGACCCCACCTGGCCATGTCTAGGCCCTCTGGAAGTTTCCTTTTTGCCATCCTCATCCTGTCGGATGCCCACAATGTCCCCTCCAGGTGGCTGGTTCATTTCCATCTCCTGCCCCCTTTCTCGGCCCCAGTGACCCCACCTGGGGAGGGACCTGCCAGCTGTAAGACCCAGCAGGGAGACAGAGGGTAGGAGAGAAACAGGTGAGAAGGGAATGGAAGAAAGAGAAGCAGTTAAGTGGCCACGACAGGCTTGGACAGGAGAAGAAACGAGGGACGAGGCTGCTGCCGGGCCCCCTTCCTCCTTTGGAGGCAGCTACTCGGGGAGAACACCGGTTTGCCTGCACATGAAATGGAACAACCCAGAAGACTGAGTGGCAAAGTGAACTGCTGTGGCCGGCCCTGGAGAATGCTGGATCCCAGGCTGACCACTGAGCAGCCACGCCATCATGGGCTCTGCTGTGTCCCCATGGCCCGAGCTATAGCTTCAGGAGCTGGGGGTGGGGTGCCTCACTCTAGCTCAGTGTTTCTGGTCATTCTAACCAGGGCTGTGGCTCACAGAGCCCTCAGATACCCCCAACTCATCCTCAAAGCATGTGATGTGTCCATGTTACTAGAGACCCCAGATCGGGAGGAGGAGCCATTGCTGACAGTGAGAGATGCAGCTTCCTGACTCCCTGAAGTCTGGCCTGCTTGGAATGTGACTCAGCTTCCTTTTGCTGCCTGCATGGGGGAAACTACCCCCACCCCCGAACTCCTCCAGGTGGGCAGCCTGTGATTTGTAACCAGACCCTTGCTGCAGATGCCCAGTAGGTCACCGACCAGGGCACTCAGTCCACAGGCAGGTCCTGTTGCTCATGGACCCACCCCGGCCCAGTGCTGGCACAGCCCCTCTGCACATGGGCCCTTTTCCATCGAACCAGCGGCTGGCAAAGGAAGCCTGTCCTCTCTTCTTGGTTGCTGAGGGCATGCTGGGGGACTCCCTTCTGGAACCTGTCCCTGGTGATGGAGGACAGCCAGGCAACCCTGGTTCCAGAAGCCTTTACATGATCCAAGGGGATGGTCCCTGCAGGATGGTTCCTGTCTCACTTAGGGCAGGGTGTCCGGCCAGGAAATGACACCCCCGGTGAAGCCTGAGAGTTCACTGGATTCTCATGCCCGAGAGCTGCCCCACAAGTGTGCCACACATTTGTGGAATGAATGCATGTTACTGTCTATCCAGCAGTCTCCTGAGTTTTCTCCATCTTACCAAACTGGCAAGATAAGGGTACTTGCTGCATTTAAGTTTTTCTCAGAGCCTGTGCCCTGTCCCTGGTGCAGAGGGTTTGAGCAGGGTGGGGGAAGTTGAGCCCCCTTAGCCCTTTCTTGCCAATTCTGGGGTCCAGACAAGCAGCAGGGACTTCAGAGCCCCCAGCCTCCAGAGCGGCTCCCCACAGATTGTGGCGGAAACTGTCCTCTGGGCCTGCCAGGCTGCAGTTTCCAGTTCTCCTCGGTGTGGAATCCATCTGTCAGGTGGAGGGGACCAATTAAATGCCCGAAGGGGCACTAATAGCCAAAGCCAGCAGACTGTGACAGCTCTGAACAGGTGACACCAACCAACACCTCTCCTTCCCTGAACGTTGGGCCCTCAACCCCAGGACCTGCAGGCCCCAGAGGCTGAGCAAGGGCTGAGCTGTGCCCTCTTTGAAGCCCACTGCCCAGCAGCCCATCGCGAGTCCTCCCCAAGCCCAGGCCCTGCCCTTCCGAGGCTCACTTACCAAATTCTGTGAGTGGGAGTCGGCAGTCAAAGGATACGGAGACAGACAGAAGCAGCCGGAGAGGTATGGAGAGGAGGAAGGAATCGGAGAGAAAAGTCGGTGAGATCCAGGTCAGGGTGAGGAAGGGAAGCCCGAGGTGGCCCCAGGGCCACAGTTGCCCTGGGGGAGCACCCCCTCCGGCCTCGGATGTCCGCGGCGTGTGTTTGCGCAGGTGTGCTGGGCAGTGAAGCAGGACAGGGACAAGCCCAGGACCCAGAAGGAAGAGGTGCAGGGCATGAAGGGTGCGGAGGCCAGAGGGGGGCAGGGCGCCCATGTCCCTCATCTCTGTCCACTCCCTCCCAGAAGGCCACAGCATGGGCTGGGAGGGTGGCGCCCCATCCCTGCACCCCACTCCCGGGAGCCTGGATAAAACCCTAGCAGGAAACAGACCCAAACACTGTCATCTTTGTATTTTCCTAACATGTAAACTGTCACAGACATGATAAGCAGACACATGGAAAATTTTCCAATAGTTAAAATGCATAAAGAGCACACAACACGGCTCCCTCTCCTCCCTGCCCGGCTACTCAAGAACCCAGAGGAAGCCATCACACCCCATTCCCTGGTCTCTTTCTTCATGAAATCCATGTTTATATGACCATTATATATGCTCTCTTCTTTGACACAAATGGTAGCATGCTATACACATTGCTTTGTGTCCGATCTTTTTCCATGTAAAACTGTCTCTGCAATTGCTCCATGACTGCACAAATAGATGACAACGCTAACAAGGACAATAAACAACACAGCACATGTTTATGCACCTGCTCTGTGCCAGGCACTGTTCAAAACACCTTGTAAGTACCAAGTATTTGCCTCATTTTCCTTAGTGGCTGCAGGGCTTCCATCCCCTGGTTACACAGTCCCCTGTGTGGTTATTCCGGATTGCCGAGAGCCCCCTGTGGCTGTGGACCATGCCTCGGGCAGTGTAAACCCCTCATGAGACCAGGACACACAGCGAGCGCTCAGGGAGCGGCTGGGCTTCAGCAGCTCTTCCTCACCCTCACTTGGTTACTCTTCCCATGACTGTGGGGTGGAGATGAAGACCCCCTCCCGTGGAAAGGGAGCTCAGAGAGGTTGAGTGAGATGTCTACGCTTGCACAGGGACTTAGCAGCAGAGTGAGGGGTAAGAGTCCGAGCTCAGGCCCAGCTCCAAGGCCAGTGCACCTTTCCACAACCCGACGCAGCTTCCCAGGCCAAAGGAAGTGGCGGGCTGGTCAGCGCGGGACCCACCGCTGCAGCACGCGTGCACTGCCTGGGACGTGCTGGTCCTGCACTCAGCAGTGTTAGTCACCAGAGCCAATGGCAACGGCAGAGCTGAGCACTCTGGGCTGAGCCCAATGGGAGGCCAAGCGATGGGGGGAGGGGGGCTGCCCCAGGAAGGGGAGTTTTGAGCTGGTGCTAGGAACAGAGGAAGGTATTACTTTCAGACACTTTTGGACTAGCAGAGAAGGGATTCCGGGTGGAGGAAGTGGCTTTGAACACGATCCTTAGCATGCCTCAGAACCACCCAGAGGGTTTGTTAAACTGCAGAGTGCTACCCTCTCCCCTTCCTTTCCCCGGGATTTCTGATTCTATAGGTCTGGGTTGGAGGCTGTGAACTTGCATTTTTAACCAAGTTCCAGGTGATACTGATCCAAGACCACCCTATGAGAACCACCAGCCTAAGCAAAGGCATGGAGTGGGGAATAAATAATCAATGATTTATTATTATTTGCACAGGACTCGCATTAGGGAAATGTGGAGCCACGTGCAAGTCACACCAGTGCTGTCCTCACCCCAGATCAGAACTGCCAGCAGAGCTCTAAAAACAAATGTAGATGCCCAGAGCCACTGTGTCAGAATCTCTGGGGGGCGGGGAAAGCTGCATCGTTGCCATGGTGCCCAGGGAACCGTGCGGCACAGCCAGGGTTTGGAAGACATCAATGGGGCAGGGAGAGCAGCTCTCGGACACCCACAGGAGTCCAGAGAGGTGAGCATGGGACAGGCACAGAGTGGTGCCTCCACCGGCCACATGCCCAAATCACCTGGACAGCTTTAAAATACCCCACGCCTAGGCTGCAGCATAGACCACGGAAATCAGACCAGGGGAGGGGGTGGAAGCCTAGCCATTGGATCTGTAAAGCTCTTCAGGTGACTCTTGCCAATGTTCCCCCAAGGGTAAGGACTACTAGGGTAGAACAGTGGTTCTCCAAGTGTGGCACTGGGACCCGCAGCGTCAGCATCACCAGGGACCTTGCTAGAAATGCAAATGTGGGGGCCACGACCAGACAGATCTGCAGATCAGAAACTCTGGGGGTGGGCTCCAGCACCCTGCCTCAGCAAGCAAGCCTGCCAAGCATTCTGATGCACGCTGATGTCTGAACACCACTGGGATGGGCGAGACCAGGGACGAGCAAGTCTGAGAACTGAAGAGAATCGACCCGCAAGATACGGTGTGTGAGCGGAGAAGACAGAACCACGAGGGGGCTGGGGCGGCTCCAATTGCCAGTCCTGTGCAGCTGAGGTCGGCCATGCGGGACCGAAGGGACGCCTGGAGATGGTGTGAGCTCTGCATAGGTTCAGGTTAAATACCTGGAGAGGCTGGAGCACCCAAAGGAGACAAGCTTCCTGACCCCGCAGGAGAGTGCTCTGGGTCTCAGTCACTGAGACCTGCCCCCCTCTCCTTCACACTGCAGTTGCTAGGACCCCAGGCCACCTTCTGACCAAGTCTCTTTGAACGCTCAGCCTGCAGCTTCCAGAACCTGCCCAAAGGGCCAGTTCTGCTTGGACTTGATTTGTGACTGTCAGCCCTCAGTGTATGTGTGTGTGAGGGAGAGTCACCCAGTTTGCTAAGCTAGTGCAAACCCCTCATTGACTGCAGCCCTCAGCTGGGAGCCTTTTATAACGACAGCATTTGTTAAACGCAAGCATTTGTCAACCCGCAACTATGGGCTTGCATGCCTTAACCAGAATCTACACAACAGTCTAGGAACATCAGCATCAGCCTACCCCTTTCCTGGAGAGGGAAACTGAGGCCAGAGAGTGGCCCGGTTCAAGCCGCACAGCTGCGGAGGAAGGGCTGGAACTCCCTCCTGGGGAGTCAGAGCTCTCAGCCACCCGGCTGTCCCAGCCCTCCCGCCAAGAACATGCTCCCAGTGCTCCCAGTGTGATGCCACGCGCTGGCGTGGTGCACTGTCCCCTCCCCACGCCACAAGTGGCAGGACGAGGCCCACGGCCAGGCGCACCCACCAAGGTCAGGAGGGGAGGTGGGGTGCGCCGCTCCCTGCTCCCACTGGGCCTCCTCAGTGCCCTTGTCCCACTCTGGGCTGCCTTCCTGCGGAGGAGGAGGAGGCGGGAGGTACTCTGGGAGCTGTCCAGGGGCGATTTTGTTGGGGAGGGAGATAAAGAGCAACATCAAAAGGAGCCTGGTGTGTGCGGAGAGGAGCCCGTGGATTAAATTCTCTTCCAGCTGGGAGAGGTGATGAGAAGGCTGATAGCCGAGCCCGGCTGGGGAGCTGGCGGCTGCCCGCGGGGAGGCCGCATGGAGGCTCGGCTGCATTTATTTATTTATCTGGACGGAAAGGACGCGTGAAATGCAGCTTTGGCTTTGGCACTTTGCTCCTGGTGGCCGCAGATGTCCCCCCACGCCAGGGCAGCGCCTTATCAGCCGGCTGCCAGGAGGGGCTGCCCAGCCCCCAGCTTCCCCAAACCCTGCCCTCCTGCCCCTCGGGAGCTCTGGCCTTGGGAGCGGCCAGAGCCTGCACTGCTCCCCCTGCTCTCTGTGGCTCCTGTCCCAGCCGCCCCTTACGCCTGGCCCAGTGTGGGTTTGCGGCTATTTACTGAGCGTTTATTATGTGCCAGGCCCTCAGCAAACAGCTGTGGCTGTGGGAGGGAGGGAGGGAGGGCGAGGGTGAGGTTTACCTATTGAACCTCGGGCACATGGGCCTTTCCTCCTGCAGGATTGCTGATTTCAGGTTGGCCCCCCGCTGCTGTCAGGCTGGGTAGGAGTGGCCTGACTTCTTTTTGAGTATGGCTTTCACATGTCACCTGAGAGCTCTGAGCACCTGCATACCTGCAGATGACCCGGTCCCTCAGGGGAGGAAGGCTGGACCCACCTCCAGGTTCCCTCCCTGGACTTGAGGCCTGCAGATGCCCCCTTCATCCCTCTGCCTCTCTTGCCCTCGGCACTGCCCTGCTGACCAAGACACCAGTGTGCCCCTCAGGTTGTTCATCCCTCTCTCTTTGCCATCAGTCAGGGTGGTACCTGGGTTAGTGACCCAGTGGTGTGATGCAGTGGCAAGAGAGCGGGATCCAAACAGGCTCAGTCACTTCTCAGCTGTATGTCCTTAGGCAACTCACTCCCACTCCCAGAGCCTCAGTTTCTTCATCTGCAAAGTGGGGGGAGTAAGCGCACCTCACAGGGTTAAATGAAAGCGCTATTGTTTCTTTGCCCTAGCGTATTTTGTGAGCGTGTGAATTGTGTCCTCTTGCCTGAGCCAGGAGATTCCTTGGTGGCAGGGGCCTTGTGTACCCCAAATGCCAAGGGACCCTCACCCCACCCTATGAACTACAACATGCCCCTGGAGGGGACCTTAGTTCCTTTCAACAGAAGAGGACATACCAGGGTCACAGGATTGCAGAGTGGACTGCAGAAGGCAGCACGAACGGAGGCCATCTGTGTGCGGGGGTGGTGGGGCTAGGCGGATGCTGCGGTGAGGGAGAAGGGTCAGGGGTCTCAGCAGGCCCCTAGGAGGCACTGTGGGCTGGCAGGACACCCTCAGCCCAAGCTGGAACGGGGCAGGGGACGTGGATTGCAGAGAGGGGCCCCCAGAATCAGTGCCACCCTCACGGAAACCTACCCCATCTGCAATTCAGGCCTGTAAGCAAAGAGCCCCCAAGACCCCAGATTCCAGGGTAGAAAGCCCTAAACTAGTGGTGGTTAAAAGCACAACTTTTGGAGTCAGACCTGAGCCTAAACTCAGGCT